GCTGAAACAGGGGACTTTCTCACCACAAATCACAGTTTCATCATGCAGCAGGGACTGAAGCTAGAGAAGCCACACACAAAGGAAAAGCACTGTCTCTGCAGAACAACCACTGTGAGATACTTAAGGAATCAGGGGTGGCTTTAGGGTTCGTAAAGCTTCAAGAGGCTACTCAGTCTGCTTGCTCCCCGCAGGAAAATGTCTCCAGTTTGTCATGAGATGGGGTCTTACTGTGCTGCCTCAGCACAGCCTCGTGCTCTGGGGCTCAGGCAATCTGTCTCAGCCTCTGAGTAGCTACACGTGTTCAACACTGTCTACCCTCTCTATTTTGCAGGGTGGGCTAAACACTGAAGCTTATTTAGCTTATAAGAAAGTTACTAGAAATGACGTTCCAAAGAGGACAGCAGAAAGTGCAGATTTGAGATGATGGTGTAAACTCTGGAGCCAGGCTACCTGGTTTAGGTTTTATCACTCACTGTGACTTTGAGACAGAGACAATCTCTCTATCTCAATTTGCTCATCAATAAAATGGAGATGATAAACTTATCTTATAGGAAGAAATGAGTCAGTGTGTGGAAACTTAGCATCTGCGTCCTGCTCTGAGTAAACAGGGTTTCGTAGCTAGGCTGCCCACGGCACCGTTTTTTGGTGACAGCCAGCAGGAATTCATACCCACTGGCCTCTAAAGCACTGAAACCCAGTGTTCTTAGGATGGACCCAACATATCACTCAGGTGTTACTGGTTCTGTGTTATTATAAAGCCCAAAGCTTAAGCAAGGTGTGGTGGGCCACATCTGCCACCCAAAGGGAGCCTGAGGCTGGAATCCCTCAAGTGTAAGGCTGGATTTGACTGCGCATCATCACCATCCTGTCTCAACCAGGTTAAAGCATGCAGAAAAGGAATTAGTGAAAGTGACTTTTTTAAAATTAAATTTTTACTTTTTTTATATTAATTACACTTTATTTACTTTGTATCCCAGCTGTAGCCCCTCCCTCACTGAAACTGGTGACTTACCCACAAAGAAAAGGACTATTCCTGAGATTAGTTACAGCCTTGCGCCCAGGCAGTCCACACTGTCCTTCCAGGCAGAATGGCTTACTAAAGTGGGATGTTCTTATTCCTGAACATCATAGTTAAGTATGCATTCCTGCTGCCAAAATTCATTTAGGGCTGCTTTGGGGAATTTAAACTAATGGGAGCAACTAGGAACTCTTTGCTTTGACTTAACACTGTGTTGGTAAGATGTACTTTTCTTTACTCAAAACAAGTTGTTCATTTTTATTGCTGTGTATCATCTGGCCACTTTGACAACAGTTTTCTCAGCTAATTTCTCTTTCTATTTGGGAATGAGTATGTGAGCTGTTCAGAGCTGTGGCCCTGCTTTGTTGATCATATATACGGATTTCTTTGATTTGTGATCATTACTGCCAATGACTATTACACGCCACTCTGGCTTGCCCATGTTTTCTTTCTGTTTAATTGTGTGTGTGTGTACAGGAGTTCACAGAGGTCAGAAGAGGGTATCAGGGGCTGGATAAATGGCTCAGAGGTTAAGAGCACTGACTGCTCTTCCAGAGGTCCTGAGTTCAATCCCCAGCAACCACATGGTGGCTCACAACCATCTATAATGTGATCTCTGGCGTGCAGGTGTGCATGCAGATAGAGCACTCATACATTAAATAAATAAATGTTTTTTAAAAAAGAGGGTATCAAATCCTTCTGGAACAAGTTACAGGTGGTTGAGTCAGCATGTGAGAGCCGAGAACCCAAAACAGTTCCAGTATGAGCCATAAGTGCTAAGCCATCTCTTCAGTGCTCCCCAGTGCTGGGATTAAAGCCGCAGCATCCATTTTTGTTTAATTCTTTTGAGACGCTGTCTCCTGTAGCTCAGACCTGTCTTGTTATATTGCCAAAGATCAGGGCGAGCTCCTCCTGCCTCTACCCCCCCAGTTGAGGGACAGACCACCTGGGATTACAGGTGTGCCTACCACTTCTGGGTTCTCTTCATTGTTTTAAAGGTGTGCTCTTATTGTCAGGAATATTGCCTAAAAAAGTCTTCTAGACTTCAGCTATGCCCTGCTAGATTCATTACGTGAGTAGGGTAAGGGCAGGGGTCCATTTCATTTGTTCTGGTTCTATCCGTTTGCTGAAGACTACACTGCAGTGATTGCTGTGAATCCAAGTGTCCATTTATTCATTTGTGGTGTTGGAGACATGGGCCCATTCCTAATCCTCATGCCTTCATTTGATAGTTCTGAGATTACGGATGTGAGCCACCACACTGAGCCCTGGGTTCATTACACAGGTCCTTTTGGGCTTTTCATAGAACAAAGGCTCTATGAAGGAAGAGCGTATTAAAAAATAGAGCCTGCCGTAGTGCCACACACCTTTAATCCCAACACTTGGGGAACCAAGGCAGGTGAATCTCTGAGTTCTAGGCAGCCTGGTCTACATAGTGAGTTCCAGAACAGCCAGAGCTACATAGTTAGATCTCATCTTGAAAACAGAATAGTGAAAACTTGCCAAGGTGAATGGATGGACTGGTTATATATCTTACAACAACCAACCAACAAACAAAAAACAAACCCCCAAACTCCAAAAGCAATGATAAGATTTCAAGTATTTTCATCCCACTAAACTGTCCCTATTTTCCTGACATGGCCTCAGAGGCTCAGATGTTAGACCTAGAACAACTGCGCAGCTCTATGTAGCATGGAGAAGACAGCCTGATCCTCACCTTCAGATTAATGTGGTGATCTACTAAATTCTGCTGTACAGTGCAGCATTAAGCAAGCAGAGGGGAGCTGGTGCATTGGTGATAGTATTTTAGAGGTTTGTATGTAATCATAGGCTTTATGTTACTAAATGGAGATATCTGAGAGCAAATGAAATTAGGGAAATAATCCATCAGGCCAGCAAGCTGTTAAAGAGGGCTGGGAGGTTGTGATATAGTCACACTTACTCACTGCAGAGAGGTAATGCAAAGAATTGCAGTCAAGTTAGAGTCAAGAAGATACCACCCAGCTGGGTGTGGTGGCTTGCACCTTTAATTGCAGCACTCAGGGAGGCAGAGGCTGTGAGTTCAAGGCCAGCCTGGTCTATAAAGCTGGCCTTGACCCCCCTCCCTGCCAAAGGGTGCCACCCTAAGAACCATAAATCTATGTCTGTCAGTCTATCTATTTACCCTCCTACCTATCTATTTTGATTTTTCTTTTCAGGTTTTTTAAAGATTTTTTTTAATTATGTTAAAGATTTTTTAAATTTATTATATATACACCAGAACTCATTATAGATGGCCGTGAGCCACCGTGTGGTTGCTGGGAATCTAACTCGGGACCTTCAGAAGAGCAGTCAGTGCTCTTAACCTCTGAGCCATCTCTCCAGCCCCCTATTTTGGTTTTTCAAGACAGGGTTTCTCTGGCTGTCCTGGACTCACTGTAGACCATGCTAGCCTGAAACTCCTTTGGCTCCCAAGTGCTAGGATTAAAGTGTGCTACACCCTGCAAGAAGGTAGCTATGAGCCGTCTCTTGAAATGACTTTTCCTTTGTCTATTGGCATATAAGGGAAACTTCCCGAGGTTTCTGCTCGCTGATCTTCACTTTGGGCTGAGTCTGGGAAGTGATTTTAAAGCAAGCGGGGGAGGCAGTTAAGTCTCTGCCTCCAGAAAGTCTTTAGCCCCTGGGAGGCAGGTTCACAGGACAGATGACCAGTGAAGGCCTCTGGGTTGCTGAGGACAAACTGTAGTGGGAGCGAGTAGGCTACCTTGCCCACCGTTGGCTACAGGCAGGGCTGAGCTCCTTGAGCATGCAGAGGGGGGCTGCTATACTCTGACCTCTGCTCTCCCAGTCAGTGGTTGGAGAGGTGCTTGCTGAGCCTAGCCATCCGGTAGTTCCGCCCTCTAGACGGGCATCATTCCTCAACAGGGCCACCAGGTGGATTAGCTTTCTTGCAGGTTTGCAAGGATGCCTGGTTCTGTGCTGCTGTAGGCAGCGTTGGCACCTGTCATCCGTCTAATGGGAACGAGCCTTCCTCTTTGTTCCTCTACACCACCGAAAGGTCCCTTTGGAAAGCAAGGATGGTTAACAAGGGGCTGTGTACCAAGGGCACACATTTTACACAGGAGCAAGTTGGGGAGGGGGAAAAGGGGGAAGAGCACGGAATTCAGGATAGGTAGCTGAGATCCTGAGCTCGGCTCAGCACAGCTCTTCAAACCTTAGTTACAGGTACTTCCTCGAGTTTGGGTCGAAAAACAAAACAAAACAACAAAAAACGAGGAATCCCCAAGCCCAGGCTAGCTCTGTTTTAGCAGATCCAAGAGTTAGTCTGTGGCATCACCCTGTGTCTTAATCTTGGCTCCTTAGCCTCGGGCAAAGCATTTATGCTCGGATCAGAAGCTCTATAGTCTGTCTGCAGTTCCCAGCGCGGTCAGTACTAGCTTGGGGGCTTCCCAGGGAGGATCTCTCCTCCACCTTAGAGGCGGGGGAAACCAGGGCACAGTAGAGACAGAAACCCTTTTCCAGGCCCGCCACTCCCTAACAGTCCGTCTTGAGATCTGCACTGGCCTTGTTCTAACTGCCCAGGCCAGACAGGTCCCAGGGCAGAGGTACCTCGAACAATCCTGGCTTTGTTGCGAAGAATCTGTCCCTGAACTTCCCATCTGTAGCTCGGCGTCTAACCTCCCCAGCCCTGTCAGGCACGGACTCTCGGCCCAGAGGACAAGGCTGGGGGCAGGGGTCACAGCCGGCCGGCATTCGCAGGAACCCCGCGCGGGAGGGTGGCCGGGATTCGGGGCGCGCGGGGCGCCCCCGGGGCGCAGGCCGTTCAGCCGTTCCCTCCGCCGGCCTGGTCTGAGCTTTCTCCCCGCAGCTCTCGAGGTCGCGATGGGCTCACCAGGCCGGCAGGTAGGCTGTGCCGTGGCGGCGGCGGCAGGCGGTCCTGGAATGTGCGAGGGGCGTGATGACAGCGACGGCCGCCGGCCTCTTTGCGCAACACCTTCGCCGTATATATACCCGGCGCTCGGCTGCGCTCCACCTGGGTGCCTCCTGCAGTCCCTTACCTGCGAAGGGAGCGCTGGTGAGTACGCGGCCGCCGCTACACGGCTGCCGGCTGCTTCTGCTCGCCAGGAGCTTCACGGAGTTCTTAAGTGACTTCATTCTCGTAGATACACCTCAAGGGAACTAACCGGCTCTGGGCTGCAGAGGAGAATATAAGAGCATACCTTTCCCAAACTTTAAGATCTTCTTTTCTTTTCTTTTTTCTTTTTTTTTTTAATTATTATCATTTGTTACAATTTATTTAATTTGTATCCCGGCTGTGTCCCCCTCCCTCGTCTCCTCCCAATCTCACTCTCCCTCCCTCCCTCCTTTTTTTCCTTTTTTTAAGGTGGTTGCGATTGCTGTCTGAATGACTCTTGTTAAAATTAGTGTAGGAGGACATGTCCCTCCTGAAGCTGCTATGACAGCCATGTCTGTGGCTTGGTGTGGGATCTACCAGGCTCTCGCTTTGCCTGGGTTACTACCTGTGTGAGTGTCTCCGGTTCCCCTCCTGGTGACACCTAGGTGTTTTCCACAAATCCTAGGTTTGTTCTGGCTGCTGGAGGATGCAGCGCCCCCGGGGGGGGGGGACCAGGGGGACCCAGTGAAAGGTTTTTGCCCCTCAGATGTCTTGAGCAGAACCTAGGATTTGATTTCTGGTTCTTAAGGAAGACAGGTACCAGGCAGGAAGGTGTTGTTAGGAACTTACAGAAGAACACCTCCACAGGGTTAGGGAAACCAAGCGTGCTCAGGCCGAAAGAGGGAAGTGACTGTCTTAGAGTTCAAGTTCTGTGGGGGCAGATGCCTGCCATAAGTGCACGGGCATTTTCTGAAACCACAGATGTCATCGGTCCTGTAATACTTTTGGGGTCTCCCAGGAGAGCTTGGTGCTAGCAGGGTGCCTCTGTCATCTTAGGTCCTTTCAGAGCAAGACTGAAACTTGCTCTCTGATGGGCATTTCTGGAAAACCCGAGCCTCCCCACCGTGACCATTGTGTGGACTGAGAGGCTGTCTTATTCTAGGCTGATAATGACTTTTTCTGTTTTACAAGCTTGTAAATGGGAGGCAAGAAGGGCAGGCTTTGTAACAGTTTTGGAAGCTACACAAGTCACCCCTCTCCCAGCCTCCTCCAGAGTACTCTGACTAGGGCAGCCAGACGCAGAATAGACTTGATTCATTTGGGGGATCTGATTTGGAAAATACTAGATTTTAGTAAAGGCTACAATATGTTTATGTTTACAAATTCAGCCTGTTAAGCCCCCTAGATAAGGCAGAATAATAGTTGGTCAGCTACATGACATATTTGCAACCTAAAGGATGAACTCAGAACCTTACCATGTTACACAGTCACTGTTCCACTGAGCTACATAGCTAGCCTTTGGCTTTTTGAGACCGTCTCCTGTAGGTCAGATTAGTCTTGAATTAGTTACCCTTGGTCTCAGCCTCTCAAGTATTGAGATTATAGACTTGCCCTACCCCACCTAGCTAGAATGTACTTTAAAATATCATAAATACAAATTTAAAAGAAGTTGTGGCAGTTTGTTGGCCTAAGTTTGTAGTGAGAGGCTACAAACTTTTAAATGTCTTTTAAAAGTTAATTCGTATCATTTACCTAAGGTCTAAAAGTAAAACCATTCTCCATTCTCCAGTGTAGGACCTGGAACAGATAGTTAGCTTTTCATTCTTATTTATTTATTTATTTATTTATTTATTTATTTATCGAACAAGGTCTTGCTGTAGGCCTGGCCATCCTCAGACTTGTGACTATCCTTCTGCTATCCTACAGCAGTATTGGGATTTCAGGCATGTGCCCCTGCCACCACACCTTTCTTATCTGTGTCTTCTTTACCCCTGAGACAGGATTTTCTCTGCGTAGCCTTGACGGTCCTGGACTCGCTCTGTAGACCAGGCTGGCCTGCCTCTGCCTCCCAAGTGCTGGGGTTGCAGGTGTGTGCCACCAAGCCCATCTTATCTGGGTCTTTTCATCACATCCTACCTCCCCCTCAGGGGATTGTGCTTTTTCTGATGCTTCGAGAAAGCTGCGAGGGAGCAGCTATTACACCTCCAGTGGTTCCAGGTCACTCTTTGAAAGCATGAGAATTTCTCGGGCCTCCTGAGAACATTAGGTGTGTAGAGTTGAATGGTCTCTGAAGCCGCACCATTCTGACTTGCAGCAGTTTCTCCGTGTCTCGGGTTTCCTTTCTGTTGTGCAGTTAGTACTAAATGATGAAAATAAAGCAAATATCTCCCTCTGTTGAGTGCTGTTAAAACTCAGTCTTCAAAGATCACCGCCAGCTGAGTGTGGTGGTGCACATCTGTAACCCTGGAAACTCTGAGACAGAAGGATTGCCGTATGGGTGCCGTAGTACACTCTGACCCCATCAGTACAAACAAGGGGAAAGCCTTAAAGTGCCAGACCATTAAGTGAGCTGATCTGTGTACATGACATGGCAACCACTGTCCTTTTTAAGTTCAGTGGTCTTGTGCCATGGCCATACCCAGTGAGAGGACACAGGGCCACTGCCCTGGGCCATTTCACTATTCAGCCTTGGGCTTTGGATAGGCAAGCTCTAAATACAACTGGTGCCAGTCAGGTCCTGGGACTAAATAATGCAAAGTGAAGGGTGTGGGTGACTGCCAGGTGGCCCACATTTCCCTGTTTGGGTCCTAGAAAAGCCTACAAGTTTCCCCTTCTGGGCCTGCCAGGAGCACTGAGTTCCTCTTGGCATTGTGTGTGGCTCCCTGAAATGGAGCCAAGAGTCTGAGAGTGAGGCTCATGGGCAGCTCTATAGAAACAGACCTGGGTTGGGCTCAGGACCTGGGGGCCCTGAGACAGTACTTGAGCTTGCTGGGCAACTGACAGCCTGGTGTCATCTGAGTGTTTTTCTCTCCTTGCTTGCTGCTTCTGGAAGGTAGCAAATGAATGCAGGAGTATGGTGTTGGACAGGCAAATAAAGGCAATAATGCTATCTGGAAGTAAGAGAAACCTTTGGAGGGTCCCAACAGCTAAGGCCTCTTCTTCAGGAAGCAGGTTCGGTGTCTGCCATGTCTCTGGGTCAGTGACCTCAGATTCATTGAATCTTCTGTCCACCCTGTTTATCTCCACCCCTTCCCAGCAGTCATACCCAGAAGACTGCTGGGTCTGAAGTCTTTGTTGGGCAAAGCAGTCAGTCATTAAAGAGTTCTTGACCACTAATTTAGGGATCTGGGCAGGGACATGGGTTATTCTTCCAGTCCGTGTTCCTGATTCTGCTTTGAGCCAGGCTAAAGCTCCTGATACTTACATAGGGTCTGAAGGCTCCCCTTATACCCCTGGCTGCTGTTAATGCCCTCTCCCCCTCACATACACAGGGCTCTGTGACTTTTAGGCAAGCTTTTTTTTTTTTTTTTCTTTTTGGTCTTTGTCATTGTATCCTGGAAAGAAGTTCTCACCCCAGGTAGTGGTGTAACTATAAACCAGTTTCCTGGGCTCTCTTTGCCTCTGTTTTATTCTGTCATTATTGAAGGGTCATGTCATATGACATCACTAATATCCTTTGGAATCCTTATTGTGCCCAAGGCTGGCAATGGGTTCTCTGTGTACACCAAGTGGTACTTAGACTAGTTCATCATGATGCAACTCATTTCCCCAGCTGGCTGATCGTGCCCGGTACTGCTCAGGCCTCTTACACGTACTATCAATTAGTCTTCATAACAGGTCTGGGAGGAATATGACACGGTTCCATTTTTTGAGATGATGACATTTGAGCCTCGATATCTCCAGGGCTGGCCTCCCTCCACTGAGATTCTGCTGTGTCTTACACCATGTACCAGCCACTGTAGTGTCCACAGAAGTGCTGCTTGCAGGAACCTGGAGGATCCCTGGAATGATGACCTAGTCCAGGGACCAATTGTAGGGTATTTTCTTGCTCCAGGCCCAGCCTTTCTTCTCTGCAGAGTTCTAGCTGCAGGCTCTGGGTCACCATGCATAGAGAGCACAGGAGGCTGGGAGGGTGGGGCTAGAGCCGCAGAGTGGAATGGCTGGATGGTTGCAGGGTGCAGACATTTCCTACTTTCAGGGTACATGTGGCTGTGGGGATAGACAGGGAGGGAGTGGCCAAAGAACTAGGCCTTGGGTGGCCAGTGCTTCCAGATGCTTGCCAAGATGGTTGTGCCAACTGTGTGGATGCTTCCTTGGTCCAGGATCTGGTGACAGAGGAGACACCGGAAATGGAGAACCAGAATTGCTTCATAGTGGAAGTGTTTTATACCAAGTAATTGGAATGGGGAAGTCTCCCAAGAAGGAGCACAGTTAATGGACAGAAATACATCTTCCTTCCGGTGGCAAAAACTAATAAAAGATGCTGGAGGTGGATGAAGGTAGTTCAGCCTGCCACGGAGATTGGGGACAGTCTTTCTTGCTGGGTTTGGGCCGGTCACAGAAAGCCAGTCACAGAACACATCCCATAGCTAACAGGGAAAATAACTTGTGTGGTTAGGTTCCTTGGCGAGGATGCCAAGGTGTAATTACTCTAGCCAAAAAATCCTGGCCGATCCAACTCGCACAGGTCGATGAGGGCCGGGCTCCTGTCAGGAAGACTCAGGCTAAAATGCTACTTGGACATAATTGGCATGGATCAGTGAGTTCCCTCAGCAGGAACTGAGTACTGGCTTTTCCATTTGGTTGCTATGTTCATTCCCCTGGGCACTGGGAGAGAAATCAGCAGGTTACTGCCTGCTGAGAGCTTACATTTTGCTTTCATGAGGAGAAAACACTTCCTGAGTTGAAGATTATTGGTGGGAAAAATAAAGAACAGAGAGCCCCTTATGTGAGGCTCCCTCTTTCTTTGGTTCATCTCAAAGGTAGGTGTGTGTATGTCTGTCCGTTCATCTGTCCTGCTTTTTATTTTACATTTCTTTCATTATCTTGGTCTGGTCTATGTCTTGCCAGTCTCCTGCATCTGCCTTCCAAATTACGGGATTATAGGAACTCACTGCCCAGTTTTAAGTTGGTTGTGGTGTTGTTTGTTTTGGTTTTGTTTTGTCTGAGACCAGACTTCCACTATGTAGCCCTGGCTAGCCTGGGACTACGCAGACTAGGCTGGCCTTGAACTTGGATTAGCTTGCCATCAGTGTGAGCTGGAATGTTAGGGTTTTTTTTCCCTCTTTTTTTGAGACAGGCTCTTGCTGATGCCTTGCATGTCCTGGACTTGTTATCTTTCCACCTCCAAGTGCTGGGTTTACAGGTGTGCCACCATACTCAGCTTGAAGTTTTAATTCTTTAACTCCAAGTTATGTCCTTTTAGAAAGATGCTGCATGCTCACAAGAGCTACAGTGTGCTGGACACTGCTCTCAGAGGCCCCATTAACATGAATGACGTTTACATCCTGGGAAACTGAAGGGCAAGAGGGCTCACCCATAATTACAAAGACAAAGCTGTGTCTTGAATGCAGGAAATTATAATCTAAAAATGTAACATTTTTCTGGAGCATATTTGACAATGTCTGAAGATATTGCCAAAATTTGGGTGAGGGTCATGGTATTTAGAGACAGGGGTGATGGTAAATATCCCTCAGTACACTGGCCCACTCCCCTCATCACAGACCCCTGTGCCCCAGTTGTCAAGGTCTAGTAAGCACCTTGCTCCATGGAAACATCATCTGAAATGTAAATCACACACCAGGCAAATGGCCTGCCACCCTCTCCCAGTTCCATAAACAAAATGGTACTGAAGGAAGACAAGTCATGTTGGTGTGACCGTTGTGGGTGAGGCCCCAAACTGGCAGAACTGTATAAAGTGCTAGGATGCTAGCCTGCCTTTGCCTTTGTGCCTGCCATCCCTCTTGTGCATAAAGCCTGAATAAGAATGTATGTCAGGCACCAGCTTGGCACTGGTAGGATGCTCATCAAATGGTCCTAGTCATTAGAAATTAATTAAGAGGTATCATGGTGATGTGTGATGGAGTTCCAGATGAGTCACACGGTTAACACACCCCAGGATTGAGAAGGGCAAGGCCAGAGCAGGCAGGAGGGAGAATGTGGGTTGTCTCTGTCAGGGTGGAAGTGGGACTCCAAAGTTTCAGGACCCCAGTCTGAGGGAAGCACACCTAGAGAAGAGGGATCAGTTGAGGGTGGCCACAGCCGGTGGAATTGGACAGTCCCAGTCAGCAGAGTCTATAGCACAGCAATGTGTTAGGAAGGTTCATCCACAGGAGATGTGGGCCACACTACAGAAGCTGTGACTGCCATTCAGTTGGGGGCTCCAGAGGCCCTGGCTGGCAGGATGGTACCCAAACTGAATCAGGAAATGCTTCCAGGTAGAGCCATTAGGTCTGGGAGATTTGGGAGCAGTCAGAGATGGCAAGAGTTTCAAATAGGAAAGTTATGCTGAAGGGAACATGTGTCATAGACTCTGCTTCTCCTCCCCCCTGCCTTGTGTGCACAGAAAGTTGCCATTACTCCGTTTGTCATGTAAGTTGAAGCAAGAGCGTCCCCCCAATTACCTTGTGCTGGGCCTTCAGTCTGAGCTGTTTCATTCCTGATGTTCACTCAGACATCTCCCTGTTGTTCAACTCCTTCACACAGATGTTTCCATGCCATCAGTCAGGATGGAGGACCTGATTTTGTGGGGAGCAGGGGCTAAGGTATCTTCTTACTACATAATCCCAGGTTGATCTGGAACTTGCAACCTTCCCATCCTCACAACCCAAAGACTAGGGTCCTATCCCCACTTGGCATTAATTCAGGGAGTGGTAGACACAGACCTTGGAGTGGAAGAAGCTCTCAAGATCATGGCAGTGGCCAGGTCTTCCCAGCTTAGATTTTTCTCCTGTGTAAGTAGCATGAGGTCACGTCCTGGGTAGGTAGGATGTGACAAACCTATACAGTTTTATTGTTGGTTTTTGTTGCTGTTTAGGGTCTTGATCTTAGACAGTTTAGGCAAAGGTTGTACCACTGAGCTAATGGGATCGTCACTCCCAGGCCAATCTGGAACCTCCTATGTAGTCAGGCTGACCTCAGAGTCACCACAGGCCACACACTGGGCTAGAATCCACCCTTTTAATCTGCAGTTGAATAGCTGGAGATATCCCACCCCTCCTCTGAGCCCCATGAAATGGTCCTGGATCTTAGGTGCCCTATTGGACCCATGCCAGAATGGAGCAAAGTGCACCATTTATTCATCATAAAGAGCACTTCCTTTGTTTCCATGTTTATTGACCTACTTGATCTGCCCTCATTAGAAGACACATCCCCATTTTTTTTTTTTTAATTTTACAAATCTGTGAATAACTGAGCAGGAAATACCTTTTGGTCTGTGTTGCCCTCTATTCAGTGAATATATTTTGGGTCTTATCTCATCTCGGGACAGGCAGATCAGGGCCCTAAGGATGCCCTTTTCTTGGTAGTGCCTGTGCTACTATGGTAAACAGGAAGTAGATGGCAGTTGGACCCTGGTTCTGGGAAGCCCTGTCCGGAGAACTGATCAGGATAAGGCCAGTGTTTCTGAGAGCTACTGTTCTTTCCCTTCTAATTCCTGAAAGGGAAATGAATAGGTCATTTTGAGAACTTCCCTGGTATGTTCATAGCATTTCTAGCCCAGGCTGGCCTCGAACTCCTGGAGTTCCTCTGAATGCTGCCTGGGATTATGCCTAGCTACCGCAACTACTTGCATATCTTGACTTGCTGATGAGGCTCAGCTACTAGGTTCTGGTCAGAACATTTTAGTACTTCCTTTTCTGTAAATCCTCTGTTTGTTGTATTGTGTCAGGACAAGCTGCAAACGGTGGCCAGCTAGGTGAGCTGGCACATGAGAGGGGCATTGTGGAGAAAATGGGTTACAAGGAAGTCTGCAGAGCCTGGAAACAATGTCCCTCTGATAAACAGCCAGTGATGGCAAGATGGTCCAGTGATAGCTGTGATTTATCAGACCTTTACATTCACTCCCAGGCTCGTTACCCCAGAAGCAGGAAGAGTTGTGCCCATTTAACAGAGAGGAAGTTGGCACTGTGTGCTTGGGGGCGTACAGGCACTGGTCCGGAGGCACAGCCACTCATGAGTGGCTCTATCGCACTTTCCCAGAAGACCCAGATGGTAGGGAAAACAGGCAGGTTGTGTATATGCATATGTGGATATCAAAACACCGGGGGGATGCTTTGGTGGTGATTAATAGTTGAACTTGCCCCAGTGCAACTAGCAGATTGAGCCCATGGGTACAGACACCTCTTCCCTCTCCTAGTCCTAAGTAGAAGATCTGCAAGAAGTGTCTTTCCCTCAGGCAACTGTTACATCAGCGGTTGCATCCTTAAGCTCTGTCTTCTCTTTTGCAGATCATGGCTCCTTGGCCGGAGTTGGAAAATGCCCAGCCCAACCCCAATAAATTCATTGAAGGGGCCTCAGGTCAGTCGAGCACGCAAGCCAAAGACAAGGAGACCAGCAAAAGTAAGTGCTGCTCACCTGGGCACAGGATGGGCCTCCTTTCAGGGCCCAGGGAGATTCAGCTCCCATTCCTCATGGCCTTTGCTACTTGTTTGAGCAGATGATAGCGGGACTTCTGTAGCCAAGATTGAACTTCTACCGTCCTATTCTACTGTGGTTCTGATAGAGGAGCCCTCTGGAGGGAGCGACCCCTGGGGCCTGTCTGAACTCCGGGACAATGGGATCAAATGGTCTGGTAAGTGGCTGTCCAGCCTCCAGCAGATGCTGGCAAGAAGGACCCAGTCTGTCTATACAGCGTTTACCTTTGTGTTCTGTGTACCAGGGTTCAACAGCAGAATAACTAGGGCACCCCTTGTTCTTTTACTCAGTGTTCCAGGGACCAAGGTTGTGACAGATTCAGTGTATGTGTGGCCTAGCTTAGGCTTTGTAAGAGGTGTGAGAACAGCCCAGAAAAAAATGGGGTGAGCAGAGCTTATATTTCTGTCCAGGTGTGGGCTTACAATCAGCCAGGGGACCAGTCAGCTAGGATAGAATTTGGTAGGAGGGGAAGGGAATTGAGTAGGAGAGGTGAGAATCACCTTGGTAGCTCAGCTGGATGTATGAGGCGCAGGCCCTCAAGAAACTGATTCCAGGAATTATATGTGCTTTCTGAAGGTGCTTTGAGGAGCTGTTACTTGTGATCCTGCATCCTTTGGCACTGTGGTCCACCTGAGTTTGGTGAAGTGCATTCCAGTGATGTGCTATCATAAAACCTGCAGCAGTGGAGGCTTCCCTGCTTGCTCTGATATAGAAGAAGTATTGATAACAGGAGCCAGTGGTGGTAGAAGGCAGAGCTCTGCGTGCCCTGCCAAACATCTGTGTTCCAGCCCTGAAGACTCCTAACTGTTGTGCCTTCCCTCTTCACCACAGAGAGAGACACCAGAGGGAAGATCCTCTGCATTTTCCAGGGGATTGGGAAATTCATCCTTCTCCTGTGCTTTCTCTACTTGTTTGTGTGCTCCTTGGATGTACTGAGCAGTGCCTTCCAGTTGGTTGGAGGTGAGTACTTGAGTACCGCCAGGTCTTAGGGATGGAGGTGGGTTACTCTTTCAGGTGCTCAGAGCTCACCGGCCTTCTCATGCTTCAACATGGTTGAGGGTGGGTGAGGGCAAACCTGACTTTGACTATGTCTGACACTTCCCATCAGGAGAAGAAAAGATCCACATCTAAGTGGCCAGCTTAAGCTAAGGGCCAGGGATAGAGCTGATTTCAGCTATCAGAATCCTTGCCAATACACACAAACCTCAGCAGGAAACTGTTTGACTCCTTTTTATCTGGGGGAATCCCTACTAGGCTTCTGTCTATAGCATATAGAAGAATGATCTCTCAGGCCAAAAGCAAGTAGGAAAGATCAAAGCCGACCCTTGCTGGCAAGAGCCCACAATAGATGCCTTCCCTGTACTGAGCCCAGGACATATTGGCTAGTGAAATGGCCTTGTGTGTTTAGTTAGCTTTGGGACCCTCTCTGGATGACAGCAGAGATAGCAGCCTGAGCAGCCCCTGTCTGGAACAGTTCTTCCCACAAGTCCCACATGGAAGACCAAGGCTCAGAGGCCACTAACCAGACGTTAAACACAGCATGTAATGAACACAGTGGGATTCCTGAGCACAGATCAAGGAGACCCAGAATCCTGTGGATCTGCTTTTCCTCTCTTGAGCTAAAAATAGAAATAGTCTTTAAAAAAAAAAAAAAAAAAAAAAAACCAAAAAAGCAAACAAAAAAAAACCCAAACAGGGTCTCTATGTAGCTCTGGCTGTTCCGGAACTCCTTATTTAGACATGATTGCCTTCTAACTTTCAGATCCACCTGTCTCTGCTAGTATTAAAGTCTTGTGCTACCTTTATTCTAAGCTTTTGGGGGGGCATGGTCTCATTCTCATGTCTCTTCCCCCCTCCCACTTCTGTTATTAAAAGGCATGACCTACCATGCCTAGTTGAGCTGACCTTTTGACTTGAGAGATGAGGGATGGGTGCAGGTCAATTGTCAGGGACCCAAGAGGTAAATTAATTGACTTTGAATGTGTTAAGTGTCCCTGACCCTGGGAGGCATCATAAGGGGTGTGGCTTATGATTATCCTGGGCAATGCACATCGAGGCCCCCTCTAGGTCTCCATGTAAAATGGGTTGAGGAAAGACTGAGGGTCACATAGGTGCACATAGAAAGAAATCCTGTAGAAAGACTGTAGAATCCAGGCTCAGCTGAAGGTGAGAATCTACTTAGAGGCAGAGGACCTGTTCTAAGCCAGGTTCCTGATCAGAGACGACTGGGAAAGGGCTGGCTGACTAGGGAGGGTGAAGGTGGAAAGATATAGAGGAAAAGGATAAGAGCCAGGGATAAGAGGGTGAAGGTCAAAGATGAAGAACTGAGGCTCAGGTGGACAAACAGCGTCTCTCTCAGGACAATGTAAAAAGCAAAGCAAACCAAACCAACCAAAAACAAACAACAGGAAGCAAGAACCAAAGGCCACGCCGAGCTGAGGAAGGCTGGGCTCCTACTCTGCAGGCAGTTGGTCTTGTGGGGACACTTGGGCTGGGTGCCACCATCTTTAACTATCCCCCAAATGGCTGTCGTTTGTCTTGTAGGAAAAATGGCCGGGCAGTTCTTCAGCAACAACTCCATCATGTCTAACCCTGTGGCTGGACTGGTGATAGGCGTGCTGGTGACAGTCATGGTGCAAAGCTCCAGCACGTCCTCATCCATCATTGTCAGCATGGTTGCTTCCTCATGTGAGTCGGGGACTCGACCTACCTATCTGGCCAAGTCACAATTATCTTCCCCATCTTCTTTTTTCTTATGACAGCATTTTAGCCAGAATTAAGAGTTTTGAATTTTTTTCACATCATGAATTTGAGGCCAGCCCAAGCTTACACAGCACAATATCTCAAATAAATAAACAAATAAATAGATATGCCTTCAACCCCTGGGGCTTATCCATTCCCTTGGTCTGATTCTTGGGCTCCTATGACACGGACAGGGAGAATTTACAAAAGTGTAAATTTACAAAAGTGTAAAAGTGTGCTGATGCCTTAAAATTACATTGAAGAATGGGGTACGTGGCAGATTCATTGACTTCCCTCTCTGGATTTTAGTAGCTACCCAGTATTATGTGCGACACGCACCTTCCAAAGAAGCAGAGAACTGCTTTCTAGAATACTCAGCTGCTGTGTTGATCCCCTGCTTTGCAGGCTCCCTCACAGTTCTCTCTACCCTGCAGTGTTGACCGTGCGGGCTGCCATCCCCATCATCATGGGCGCTAACATTGGAACCTCTATCACCAATACTATCGTGGCCCTGATGCAGGCGGGAGACCGGAACGAGTTCAGAAGGTGAGTTACTCAGGGCAGGCTTTGTGCCCACCGTGTCTGTTGTTTGAGTCAGTGCCATCAACTAGTCACGAAGGTGTGTTTGGCACTTTACCCGGACAGAGCCTCGAGAGTCCTGCTTAGGGTTGGGAATCCCAGATTAAAATCCACTTGCTAATCAGCAGAGCTAGAATACCCAGCACCGACGAGTTACTTGATTAGGCAGGCAGAGCACCTGGCACCTCAGCAGGGCACATGAAAGCTGGGTGTCACCAATGAAACAAAGCCAGTTGGGGCAGGCTTCCCTGTCTCGCTTAGTCATAGATAATTATAACTTCCCCAAACTTCCATGTTAAACTAACTTAACTAATACCTCTTCACCTGAAGGCCAGCACAGGCAAATATAGTTCATGTGAGGTATGAAAATAGGATAGTTGGAAAAATCAAAGGGCAGCCCTCTGCCTCATTGTTAACATGGGAATTAAGGGTGTTTCCAGGCTTCTTCTAACCAGCGACAGACACTCACCAGAGCTCATTAAAATAGAGAAGCAATTCCTGGCTTGTCTATGATGCCACTCTGGTGTGGTTAAACAGCTGATATTATAGCAGGTTGTTGCAGGAAAAATGGTCATGTTCGTCGTGTCTGCTGATGAATCAACAGGAGATGCTACCTCAGTGGCCCATCTACCACGCCACCTCATTCGGTCCCTGATGACATGTCTTGATGGACATGATAATACACATTAAGACAGGCACTCTCTAATTTGATCTTCTCATGAGGCCAGATAGCCTTCCCCTATTCCCCATTATATTCATCTCGAAGACAAAGTGATGTCATTGACTGGCCAGCCAGGATTCCACTTAGGTTTCAATTCTGGAAAATCTGGGCTCATCTCATGACTATTTACGCTGATTGCTCCCTTGTAGCCTGTGGACTAGAAGCCTAAGGATCTAATGAGGTGCCCACATGTGGTTGGGGTATAAATGACTTAGCTTACCCGCTCCCCCCCCCATGCGATGTCAGTATGCTCTGTATAACCAATATTGGTTATATGTGGTATCCTGAAAGGTTTGGATTATTGCCGTAGATATCTACAACAATGACTGTATTAAATGTTTGTAGGGCTCCTGTGTACATTTGTTTATTTAGCACCAGAAACTGTTTGAATCATTTTCCCTAAATCAGCATTACATGAAAGTGTCTTAAATTGCCTTCCCTGGGAAGAATGTGACTAGCTAATACCACAGAGCAAACATTGGAACTTGATACATTTCTTTTTACTAGTGAAATTAAGTATTTCACCATTGTCTTCTTAGCAAGTGCTTCTCTCCGTGGCCACATACCAAATTCACCGGGTAGTAACTGTTTTCTGACCTGGAGATGTTTCTAGCAAGGACATTTTCAGTTTTCATTGAGGAAAAAGGGTGATGTAATGTCAGTTTTTGCTCTTTGTCTGACTTGGGATAGTTTCTTAATTTGAAAGTTTTTGTGTCTCAGAATTTCAAAAATATTTAGAGGTTAATGTTTAGCGGTGGCTGCCAGGTGCAGTGGCTCACGCCTTTAATCTCAGCACTTGGGGAGACAGAGGCGGGTGGATCTCTGAGTTTGAGTCCAGCTTGGTGTACAAAGTGTCCAGAACAGCCAAGGCTGTCCTTCTTTGCTATGCAAAGAAACCCTGTCTTGAAAAAAAAAAATCAGGGGCTGAGGAGACAGCTCAAGCACTTGTTGTTCTTTCGGAGGACCTGGGTTTAGTCCTCACCACCGTATGGTGGCCCACGGCTGAAGCTCCAGTGTCCGGCCTTCTGATGGGCTGCTGTACTGGTACAGTACACATGAACTCAGGCAGACACATTCAGCCTGTAAATGTAAAAAATTCAGTTGGTAAGAAAGTTCTGGCTGTCTGCCCCACTGCTCTCCACCTTTCCAAGGTCAGATTGCCTTCCAAGCAAGTTCAATGTGGCCCAGGCACATTTAACACATTTAAAGAGGCGTCTCAGAGGTTAAGAGCACTTGTTGCTCTTGCAGAGCATCAGGTTCTCTCAACTAGATGTAACCCCAGTTGCAGAGGATCTGGCAGGCATGGATGTGTGGTACACATACAAGAATGCATAATGCTTCTAAATCTTCATTTTTATTACATTTTTGTTAATACCTTTTTGTTGCATTTGTATATGTTTATTTGTATGTATGTATGTATGTATGTATCACATGTATGCATGGTGAAACTTGAGTTGTGGGTTCCGGGAATCGAACCCAGGCCCTGTGGAAGAATAGCCAGTGATCTTAACTGTTGAGCCATTCTCCCCAGCCTTAAAAATTTGGGCAAGGAGGGCTTGGGAGTGGTCTTGATGCAATTCTGCTAAACAGTGGTTGTTAGGATTCCAGCCCTAAAATACTGTTCTAGCTGACAAAGTGCTCCTCGGGCAAGCACCTGTGTGCACCAGGTGGCTGTCTCACAAGCCTTCACTCTGAATATAATATGGCTATGGTGTACCCCTCCCTCAGGGCATTTGCGGGGGCCACTGTCCATGACTTCTTCAACTGGCTGTCTGTTTTCGTGCTGTTGCCTCTGGAGGCTGCCACCCACTACCTGGAGATTCTGACCAACCTCGTGGTGGAGACCTTCCAGTTCCAGAATGGAGAAGATGCCCCAGACATTCTGAAAGTCATTACAGACCCCTTCACAAAGCTCATCATCCAGGTAATGGCCACATTGGTAAGGCTCACTTCCAGTGAGCCTAAAGAGGCCAGGGACTTGAACAAGAGCCATGAGAGGCAGAAGTTAGGGATATTTGTTAGTGAGTGTCACCTGTGTTTCCTTGACATCAGGCTGGTTTACCATCTAACCGGGTAAGATTAGGGTTGATGGGTGTCTCAGAGATCAGTGAGCATTTCTGACCACGTAGTTTCCACGTCATGTCAGTGGAGTGGGCCACTCCCCTTCCTACCTGAGCCCCCAGTCACGTCCTCTAGTCCTTGGTGTCTATGGTGATATGGATGGAGAAAGGGCCAGCTAGGACTAGGTCTCTGCAACACTGCTGGCTACCAGTGCCCTCACCATACTGTCATGCTCTGAGTAGCTGCCTATTCCTAGGGCAGTGGCTTTCAACCTTCTTAATGCTGCAACCCTTTGATATGCTTCCTCATGTTGTGGTGATCCCCAATTATAATTCTCATCGCTACTTCATAACTGTAATTTTGCTACTGTTATGTCAGATATTCACATTACCATTCATTTCTGATGGCCTTGGGCAACCCTTGTGAAGGCGATAATGGCGTTCTCAGTGAGGGCTGGAGTTGGGGGTAGGTTTTTATATATAGCGTGTGTCCAGTGGCTCACAAGTCACAGCTCCCACACACCCAAGCCCCTCCCCCCATCAGCAACCAGTTCTTTCACCCGAGGATGTGCTGACCTATGCTCCTCTATTGATTCCCTCAGCTGGATAAGAAGGTCATCCAACAAATTGCAATGAACGACCCAACAGCCCGTAACAAGAGCCTGGTCAAGATCTGGTGTAAAACTATAACCAATGTGGTGAGTGTTGGAAAAGTTGCTGGGCGGATAAGTAGGTGTATAACCCAAAGGCTTAAAAAGCAGCAAATCAAAAGTCTGCAGGGGAGGAGGGGTCAGGGAACAGGGAGCAGGAAATGAGGCTGCTGAGAGTCAGATCTGGCCACTGCCTTTCAGGGAGATAGCTACCTTCGCTTCACTGTGAGATGCATCTGCATTGGCCTGGTATAATGCTTGTGGGTCTCATAGAAGGCTGCTGCCTGGTCTCTGCTCTTGCTTTGGAGACCGTGAAATCTGTCCCACCACACAAATACGGGCAGCAGGGCCATCTCACTTTCCAGACTATTTATTTCCGGAAGAGGCACACATCCGAGTCTCAGAGCAGAAACTTAACCAAACTGCTGTGCAGTGTGGGTGTGGTTCACCCTTAATTCTGGGTTGTAGTGTGCCTGTGTGTGTGTGTGTGTGTGTGTGTGTGCTTATGTATGAGAAAGGCTGGTAAAATAAAATGAAAACAGATTTCTGTCGCCATGGCTCGCTAATCCTTCAAGGAGAGGAAGGCACCCTGTGACAGGGTCATTGTCTAGATGAAGTGTCCCATCGGTCCCCACCATGTACATGTCTCATGTTTGTCATTGTCATTTAGACTCAGGTGAATGTCACCGTACCCTCGCCTGATAACTGCACCTCAACTTCACATTGCTGGACCAATGGCGTAGAGACCTGGACCATCCAGAATGTGACCCACACGGACAACATCGATAAATGTGAGTGGGAACTGGCTGACGGGCCAGCTAGGCGGGCGAGGTCTAGGAATCTGACGAGCATATCTTGTCAGTGTGGAGCCCAGTGGTTACAGGAGTGGGGGAGACCACCCCGGGCCTTCTGGCGACTCCACCACTGGAAGGGCTTCTGATTGGTTTCCACGGTGCTGCCTTGGTGTGCCTTAGAATCCCTTTGTCAATTAGCCATGGGTTATCTGCTGGTTTGGTTACGTGGGGTCTGTTCCCTCAGTGAATCCCTTCTGAGTAAGGCCCTGAGGACACCCGATACTCTCACAGTTTAGGAAGCCTTTCTTCCTGATTAATTTTCCTGAATCCCACCTTCTCCCCTAGCCCACCACCATGAATGCTGCATAGTGAGAACTTTGATATTTCTGTGATTCTCCTGGATTTGTCCCAAGGATATAGAGGAAGGACTTTAGTTAGTAATGCCTCAATGCTTGCTATTAAAAATTGCCATTGAAAATATCAAGGGGCTGGGTGGTAGAACTGGGCTGGACACCAGGACCTGCCCGTCACAAGCTAAGTGATTTAAGGACCTTAATTCACCATCCAGTCTCAGGAAGCGCAGCTTTGTTAACACAAATTGGGGTCAGGCCTGGGGGTACCCACTTATAGTCTAGAAGTGTAGGACGGAGGATCTGGCTATTCCCTATGTTGGAGACCAGCCTGCACAATGTCACATCCAGTCTCAAAAACGAACAGGGGCTGACGACATGACTCGGCCACTAAGCTCACATACTGCTCATGCAAAGAACTGCAATTCCTACGTCATATCGCAGTTCCTACATGAGGTGGCTTACAAACCACCTGTAACTGTACTTCCGGAGAATGAATTATGACTTCTGGTCTCTACAGATACATGGCATGGGCACATGTGTGCAGGCGCACACACAAACAATCCTGTTTAAGTTTTTTAAAAAGCTAGCAAACATTTCTCAAAAGCAAACCACCGAGAAGGACATGGATGGCCCGAGTTCCCATGCAACATTGTTTCCAAGAAGGAACAGGCAACACTCTGGGCAGCACAGCCCTGACCTCCTGACCCACCTGTTTGTGTCTCTTCAGGCCAGCACATCTTCGTGAACTTTGACCTCCCGGACCTGGCTGTGGGCATCATCCTGCTCACTGTCTCCCTGCTGATCCTCTGTGGCTGTCTGATCATGATAGTCAAGCTCTTGGGTTCTGTTCTCAAGGGACAAGTTGCTGCTGTCATCAAGAAGACCCTTAATACTGGTAGGTCCAGCGCCTCCATCCTGTTCTAGCCTTTCGGGGACAGTATTGTGCGGACACGGAGAGGGGCTCTTGGATTTCCATCTTGCAACAGTCTCTGTGTGGAACTCATTCTTGGGCCTGCTGAGTTACAGTGACTACGATGTTCTTTTCCCTGGAAATGGGATGTCCCTTGTAGGTGGGGAAAGGTACAGGCTCCCACTGCAGGGTAGGCAAGGCCCTGAAGATAAGCAGGAGGGCTAGGCCCTCTCCCTGGCCGGATGTCTATATGCCCCAGACTACCATGGATCTGCTATTAGTAGCTCTCAGGGAAGGGGCAATTGCTGTCCACTCTAGTCCACCTTTATCCTCACTTCTGCTGTGATTCTGGAGAACTTTGTCAGCCAATGAGACTCACTGTTCAACAGGCGCTCCCAGCTGGTAAAGTAGCCTACCCAAAGAGCAGGAAAATGGAATTCCTCAGATCTCAAAATGTGGCCGTGAACACCTGCACCCTAGTCTCAGGAGAAGGATCTCTTTGCTTAGGTGTTTGCCAGAACCAGGGTCCCAATTCCATGCATAGTAGGGGGTGAATTTATAGCTCATCTCTGAGAGTGCAATGATGCCAGACCAGTCTCTGTGTGTGTGTGTTCCTAACTCTATCAATCTCAGTGTCTGTTTGCCTCTCAAGCATATCGTTGGCTTTCATGAACCTGCAGGATGATGTAGATTAGGGAAGGATTTTAGAAAGCCACCTGGCAAGCTCAGGTCATGTGTGGGGATACAACCCTTCACCCTAGCCTCTGCTCCTGAGTCTTGAAGAAGTGCCAGCCAGGCCTCCCACCCGGGCAGTCCCTGGGACTTTCGACACACCCTCTTTTTGTCTTCCAGATTTCCCCTTCCCCTTTGCATGGTTGACCGGTTACCTGGCCATCCTCGTTGGGGCAGGCATGACCTTCATAGTGCAAAGCAGCTCCGTGTTCACCTCTGCCATGACGCCGCTCATCGGTGAGTTTTTTGTCCCCGGTCTCTCCCTGGGTCACCATAGCCTCTTCCCGTGGTTAAATGGGACCCTGACGAGTGTTCTGTGCTTTCTCAACAGGCATCGGGGTGATCTCCATTGAGAGGGCATATCCACTCACGCTGGGCTCCAACATCGGCACCACCACCACTGCCCTCCTGGCTGCCTTAGCCAGCCCAGGCAACACTCTGAGGAGTTCCCTCCAGGTCAGCAGCCACTGCTGGGCTCTCGGTGGGATGAAACCTCTCTGTGGTTTTGAAAATCAGTGGTTTGTTTTATTGTGTTTGAGTCAGAATCTCATGAAACCCGTGTTGGCCCCAAATTCATAAATGGCCTTGAACTCCTGCCTCCTCCTGTGTGCTGGGATTAGAGGCACACACAGCCATACCTAGCATGCAGGCCGCTTTCTAATGAGAGTCGTGCACTCTGTCATATTAAAAAAGCAGAACTAAGATACTGGGAGATGCCACGGGGAGCCAGGTATGAAGAGAGTCAAAAGCTATGGGTTCCTAAGAGGTGGTGTTTAAAGGATCTACTCTGCTGAGACAATGGACCCAAGGCATGCATGGTGAAGTAGCAGGCAAAACCATGTCAGGTGACACCTTCAGGACCTTCTCTTCCCCCTCTTTCGATGATCTCCAGTGCATGTTCATTGAGCATAAAGCTTTGCACAGGCCCAGCTATACACAAAGAAGACATTAAGTGACCTCGACGTCTTCCCATCCCTCACCTCTCCAACGTCCTCTCTTTCAGATTGCCCTGTGCCACTTTTTCTTCAACATCTCCGGAATCTTGCTGTGGTACCCAATCCCATTCACCAGACTGCCCATCCGTCTGGCCAAAGGCCTGGGCAACATCTCCGCCAAGTATCGCTGGTTTGCGGTCTTCTATCTCATCTTTTTCTTCTTCCTGACCCCGCTGACCGTGTTCGGCCTGTCTCTGGCAGGCTGGCCAGTGCTGGTGGGCGTGGGCGTGCCCATCATTCTAGTGGTGCTCCTGATTGTCTGCCTCCGGATGCTGCAGTCCAGGTGCCCTCGGATCCTGCCCCTGAAGCTCCGAGACTGGAACTTCCTGCCCTTGTGGATGCACTCTCTGAAGCCCTGGGACAACGTCATCTCCCTGGCCACCACCTGCTTCCAGAAACGCTGCTGCTGCTGCTGCCGGGTGTGCTGCCGGGTGTGCTGCCTGGTGTGTGGCTGCAAATGCTGCCGCTGTAGCAAGTGCTGCAGAGACATGGAGGAGGGGGGCGGGGAGCAGGAGGTCCCTGTCAAGGCCTCTGGAGCCTTTGACAACGTAGCTATGACCAAAGAGTTCCAAGATGAGGGCAAGGGTCAAGTGGAAGCCCTGGACATGAAGGCCATGTCCAACACCACTGTGTTCTAGGGGGCAGGGCGCACAGGAGTCAGGGGAGGTGGGGCTGAGTCCCATTGGGACCCCCCCCACAGGTCTCCTACCACGAACAGAGTTTTATCCACTCTAGCAGAGTATCATTCTATAGGCGAATTGGCCTTACCTTGTCCCCTGCTTCCCAAGCGCCTTCCTTCTCAACAGACAGAGGACACAGATTTAGGCTGTGAACATGGCCCCACAGGTGACCGCATCCAGTTCTGGCTAGGCCTTCAAGGACCATCCTCACCCAAAGGACAAGTGTTAAGGGAGGCATTAGGGAAGGCTCTGGAAAGGCTCTATGTAAGAATATTTGTAAATATATGTACAAAGCAGTCCTTTCTTGGCTGTATAACCTCAGCCACATCTCTCTTATCAAAGCCCACTGCTCTCTACCCAGTAGCCCCTCCTAAGCATCCCTGCCCCAGGTTAGCCAGTTCAGACAAAATGAGGTAATTGTTTGGAGCCCATAGTCGGTACATGGTCCTCATCAGGGCTTCAGCTGGAGGGTTATGTCTGGTCCAAGCAGTGGATCACAGTGTCCTCTGGCTTAGGGTTCACGACATGTTTGGCTCACCCACTTGTTTATTTGCCTAGGGTCTAATCTAGAATGTGGGCCTTGTGGTTACAGGGTAGGTACTAGCACCCTCTTGGTCAGAGAGCAGTATTCCTGATGGGACTTGTGTAAGACCGGTCTCTTAGGCCCTCTCCACTGGTACCATCTGGAATCATCTTCTTGTAGAGGGTGTGTTCATCCTGTTTTGTGCAAGGAGACTCTCTGGGCTAGGTTTTAGTGGTGTGTTCCATCCATCCACTCACCCTCCCGCTCATGCATTCAGTGGGATCTTTCCAAATACATTCCACAGATGAGCTTTGTCCTGCCTCCTTGCATTCCTACAAAGCTCCAAGGGGATTCTCAGGAGGGAGGAGGTGGGAAATGGCTAGGTGTGCTCAGATTCAAGTTGAAGCTTTGTAGGGTTTGTGGATGGCTTGTAGGTAAAGGATGAGAATCCTAGCCACACTGGATCTTACCTGTGCCTTTTAGGCCCCTCCCCCTCCCCTTGTAATTCCCACTACCACTGTCCCCCTCAGCTTGATTCAGGACAGGGAGTGGGGCTCCATAAGACTTTGCTCTCCATTTTCTCCTAACACGCCCATCACCATCTGAACAGGCTGAGATTCCAAACTGAACCCCTCTGTAGATAAAAGTTCCCAAAGAGCCACTTATGTGGCATATTTATAGCTATACATCTGTACAGAATCCTTCATAAGTTATATAGTAAGTAGTGATTTGTTTTATAGTGTCTCATTTGGAAATGAGGCAGGGTTCTTTTATGTACTGTGAAGAACAGAAAGAGCACCTTTATATATTTTGTAATACTGCCTTTAAACACGACTCTGAGGCCACGCCACCCCTCCCCCTGTAAATATGTAAGTTACACCCCAGAGGTGGCTTTGCACTCTTTTTTTTTAATGGGATCCTTGTACCTATGTTAATTTGTATTTTTTTTTAACCAATTGAGGGAAGGGAGAAATAAAAAAAATCAAATCCCCCAAAAAGTGTGTTGCTTCCAATTACAGGGTTGGGTTAGCGTGAAACATCTTTCCTTACTCAAATCTTATTTTGCACAGCCAAGGAAAGTTATGACGTAGTTTGTGGAGACCCAGTAACATTCTCTCTTCCAGGTCATGGGGATTAGCTACTGAGAGTCATGCCAAGAGAATCATGGCATTTGATATTACCAGGTCAATGATGAATCTTTGAGATGGCACGGCCAGCATTTTGAAGCTTGTGTATGTGTTCTGTTCCCTCAGAAGGAAGGAAAGTCAGCAGGAAATGAACCTGACTGTAGACTGGACAGTCTGTCCTTTCTACAGGTGCTCTGTGCCTTACTAATGAGGGTGAGCGGAAAGAATTGGGAAGAGCCACCTCCCTTCTGTGTGGCTTTCCTGTCAGCCTTTGAAGCTAGAGGAGGGGGAAGGGAGAGCGTGGGCTCCCTGCTCACTTATATTTCCCAGAATGCCATTACTTTCTTTTAGTGTCCTATGCAGTTTTACACTGCCAGTGCCTCCAGGACAGCAGAAGTAACTGCTAGAGCCAAGTCTCTCTGTATAGTGGTGCCAAACTTGGGTCAAGTGGAGGCTCTGCACCTAGCTGCCATTCACCTGCTAGTGCCAGTGGCCTCCTGTGATTGATTCCTAAAAGCCCTAACGGCCCTGGGATCACCTGTTGCTCACCACAGCAAAATCCAAGCTGCTCCAGTCTTTTCCGTAAAATGTATTTGCTTCTCGCACTATACACATCTTCCAGTGCACTCTGAATTATCCTGCCTGTATCTTATGCCCAGTCCAATGTAAATGCTCCCAGGGAAGGGCAAGAACAGTCTACATGTCTGATCGATATGCAATTGTTTTGAGACAGGGTCTCAAGTAACCTAGGTTGGCTTCTTCACTGGTCCCTTCCTACCAACAAACCACATTCCAAATTTAGGGCAAGTGTAAACCATTGAAATGGTGATTTTTTTTTTTATGGCACTAAATTTGGGTTTGTTTGTTAGATAGCACAAGATGACTGATTCTCATGTGTAAACACTGTCTTGTTATAATTCCTGAACCTCCCTACCCACTTGTTTTAACCAGGACTCCTTTGGTTAAATTCCCTCACAATGAGCCTCCTGTCTATTGTGGGGGAGTAGATTGACAGGCTCTCAGACTCTACTATGCACTCCTTAGCTTTAGCATAATGTCAGTGGGGTGCTATATTAGCAGAATAAATTGTCCTCCCCTGGCTTTGGCTAAGGCAGGGCCTGTGTGCACAGCATCTTCTGAGCTGCCGGGAGGTAAAGCCGTGCCTTCTCATTTGATTCAGGTTAATTACATAGGAGCCGAAGGGATGCCAGGGCCCGCCTACTTATGCTGAGTTTGGAGTTCTGTAGTACACATTTTGTTAGTGTCCAAGACAAATAAGTAATATCCCTTACCCTACTGGAATGTCTTAAACAAGACAGGTTAACCCAGTGAGATGAAAAATATCCATTCACGAGTAAGAAGCTGTAAGGTGCAGCTGAACTGAAATGTGAAGTACACCCTGGGTGTAGAAGATGTTTGCAAACAGGAACATAAAAGTCTTACTAGCATTTTATACTGAGTACAAGTTGAAATTAAAATATTTTACATAGGGGCTGGAGAGATGGCTCAGTGGTACTATCTGCTCTTCCAAATGGACGTGGGGTTCAATTCCCAGCACCCACATGGCAGCTCACTACTGTCTGTAATGCCAATTCCAAGGGATCTGCCACCTTCACACTAATGCGCATAAAATAAAAAAAATTAGGTATGTTGGGTTAATAGAATATATTAATTAAAATTAACCTACATGTTTAGAGGATGTTGGAGCTCCTCAAAGTAGATGTGAGTGCCTGGAACCAAATTCAGATCCTTTGGGAGAGAAATAAGTGTGTTTGACTGCTGAGCCATCTCTCCAGCCTCATGTTTGCTTGGTGTTTTTGTTTTTGAGACAGGGTTTCTCTCCCTGGCAGCCCTAGAACTTGCTTTGTAGACCAGGCTGACTTCAAACTCAGAAATCCACCTGCCTCTGCCTTCCGGGTGCTGGGATTAAAGGTGTGTGTGCTGCCGCCGCCACCACCACTCAGGCTCTTTGTTTTTATGACAGGGGCTTGCTAAAAGCCCAGGCTGACCTGGACTCTAAATCCTGTTTCAGCCTATAATATGCAGGCTTACGTGAACCACCGTATTAGACTCTCTCTGTCCCTCTTCCTCCTCCTCTCTGGCATGACTACTCAGACTTGCCTGGATTTCCCTATGTAAATCAGACTGGTCTGAAACCTGTGGCAATCCTCTTCCTACTGCCTCGGAATGCTGGGATTGCAATAATATGTCCTTTTTTAAATATGCCTACCAGGACATTTTAATGCAAAAATGACTCCATGGTACATTTCTGATACCAGAAGCCTTAAATGATAGAACACATGAAACCAGCCTATCGAAGTGCTGGAATCTTGTTTTCTTTAAATACAAAATAAGGCTTTTCCAGTATTCCTAGAGTTCTCTAAAATTAATTTGACATCACTAACAAAGTTCCCTCTGTATCAAATGCAACTAAGAACAATAAAATTACTCAACCTTATGAAAATACAGGTATTCTCCCCCCCCCAAAAAAAAAATTCTTGTTAACGATGAGATCAAGACTACATTTAATCCCAGGAGACCCTGATAAATGCTTATAGAGAGCATATCTAACCCTGTGTGTCAAAAATCCTCTATCCTCACAGCAAGGCACAATTGAACAAGTCTTTGGCTTGGGTTTTTTTTAGCTTAAAGAAGTTTTTAAAAGTCTGATCTGAGATGTGGTACTTAGGATCCTGGGGTTAGTTTAGAGTCACCGTTTTCTTATTTACCTCCCTACTAGGTTCTAGGCTTCAAAGATTTTTAAATATGTGCCAGTGTTACATATCAGTAATTGTCCTATGTATTAAGACACTTTGGAGAATTCAACTCACTATCAGTCTAACCTATAACAACTATGTTATTTTAGATAATGGTGGCTGTGTGACCTTCGTTCCAGTGCACACTGATATGACTCACACACAAGTGATGATAAAATTCATGTGACTTCTTTGTTCCGAGGAATGTTCCAGATGTGTGACTGGGAGAAATGCTCTATTATTTAATTATGTTATCAGTGCAGATCAGAGGTAGATCAAAAAGTGGGAGCTGTTCAAGCCAGTGAAATAGAGACCAGGTCTGAAGAAACCCCAAGCGGATAGCACTAGTTAGATTTCATACGTGACCTAAGCAAGCCTTGATTGATTTGAAGAAACTTAAGAGAAAAACTACGTTCAGCATGTTTGTGTGGTGCTGAGGTCCAAGCCTGGGGCCACACACACTCTTGAGCACATTCTCTGCAGCCTTAGGCCCCGGGCTGTTTCTTCTAAGCTGCCTCTACCGGTATTCACAAGGCAGCAGCTGGTGAAGGCACGGCTGAAAGCCCGTGCTGACTCCTGAGAGCCACCTGTGCTACAGGCGGGACGTCGATAGAAGGACACTCACCCCTCCTTCCTACACACCCACCCTACTCCCTACCCATTGTGAACCCCCCACTTGCCCCTCCTCACTACACATTGGAAGTCCCTCAACATTATTCACCCTTCTGTCCTACACACTCGATCACACACACACACAGAGACGTGCACAAACACTATACACATACACACACACACACACACACATATATAAAATAAAAATAAAAGATTTAAATGGCCTGCACTGAAGAAAATCAGAGCTCCATTCCACCAATCAGAGATAGCCAAACAAGCCAAGGGTCTCTGGTATACACACTGAACTGAGTAACTGTAACGCTGATCAATGAAGTTTCTTTTGCTTTATTTCAGTCTTCCTGCAAAGCCCCTTCTGAACCACTTGCAGTTCACAGCTGCCTGATTCATGAAGTCTTGTCTGCTACAATAAACTTCTAATGGGCCTCGCTTTACGTTTTTAGCTGTCCGGGCTGAATCTGCTCCTCTTTTCAGTACTCGGAAGTTCAAATTCCTCCACTGAGTCCAGCGGAAACTTGATGATAAGCATTTGGCTGTAAAAGTCGCCAGAGGGCAAGCATGCTGTGTGATCAAGTTTTTCCAACAGGCTAAAGTCCTCATTTCCAGCTAGCATGCGTTTGTGCTTACGGGGCCTTCCAGAGAAGAACAAATCTTTAGCCAGATGTTGTAACATACCTGTAATCTTACACAAGAAAAAAAAAAAAACTCTTTCCAAATGAACTGGAATTACAGATGGTTGTGAGCTGTCATGTAGATACTAGGAATTGAACCCAGGTCCTTTGGAAGAGCAGCCAGTGTTGCTGACTGCTGAGCCATCTCTCCAGCTCCCGCTTTTGCTTTTTGAGGCAGGGTCTTATGTATCCAAGGCTATCCTTAAATTTATTACGTAGCTGAGGATCACCCTCAGCTCCTGACCCTCCTGCTCTATCCTGGGTGCTAGGCGGGCCGGCCTGCACATCCCCAGTGTATGTAGAGATCAAACCCAGGGCCTCATGAGTGCAGGGCAAGCACTCTGCAGATGGAGGCCCAGCCCCAGCTTGCTTTTTCTCTTGCTAGTCTAGGTATAGCATGCACAGAGGGGGGGAGAAAGAGCAAGCATGCTGCTGTGTGGGCGGTCGTGGACACCCGGGTGTTGCTCCATTCTCTAGGTGTTTCCTTTAGAATCCATCTTCTATCTAAACCAACAGGCATTCAGGTTCCTTCCCCTTAAGTGAGGCTTTGTTTTTCTCTCCTTTTCTTTTTCCCCCCCTGAGACAGGGTTTCTCTGTGTAGCCTTGGCTGTCCTGGACTTGCTTTGTAGACCATTCTGGCCTCAAACTCACAGAGATCCTCCTGCCTCTACCTCCCAGGGGGCTGGGATTATAGGCTTGTGCCACCACGCCCAGCTTACTTTATCCTTTCTATCGGTCCTCAAACCACCACCGAAGAGCTATTCCCCGAAACTTGAAAATGCCACAGAGCAGATGACATAATCATAAG